ATCTCTCGGTCGAACCCGTTGGGAAACAGGTTGACGAACGCCCTGCCCCGCGCCAGGCGCGCGCCCTGCAGGACGCCCAGCGCGGCGCACACGGACGCGTAGTACGCGGCGCCTCCGACGAGCCCGCCCGCGGCGGCGGCCGGCGTCAGCGCCGCGCGCGCCGCGCGGCGCCACCGCGAGGGCCCCAGGCCGTGCTCGGCCTCGAGCTTGTCCCCCATCCCGCGATAGCCTCGCGCGCGGAGATCGCCGATCTGCCGCCGCAGACGCGCGACGTCGGGTGGCTCTGTCCGGCGGCTGCGAGCTGTGCCGCTCGTCCGCCGCGTCGCCGTGCGGCCGGTGGCGTCTGGGATCGCTCGCCGACGGCGCGGCGGCGCGTCGGACTCCGTGGCAGCCTTTTGGCAGCCCGCGCGGCCTTCTGATGCCATGCGGCGCGGTCTGGGCGCTGAAGGTCGGTCTCGCGCGCCTTCTCGCTGCTGATCATCGTCCTCAGATGGTGATGCGCGGACCGAGGCAGCCATTTTGGCAGCCCGCGCTCCGAACATTCCGCGCTCTGGCTAGGTTGAATCTCAACAACGCAAAGTTGCCGTCGCTTCCGGATTCTTGCGACGCGATGGCACGCGTTCTCGGGGCTGCCCTGCTCCTCTGCACCTGCAGCGCCATGCGCACGCTCGGGGCTGCCCTGCTCCTCTGCACCTGCAGCGCCATGCGCACGCCGTCGTCGCTGCCCGAGGTCGGTGGTCTACTGCGCCGCGTCGAGAACCTCGACGACGTCGACCTCGACAAGGCCCGGGAGAGCGCCGTCAAGTGGGCGCGGCAGGGCGCCCGGCGCATCAAGCGCGGCGTCGACAAGTACGGCCTGGCGGCGAAGACGGTCCTCGGCGCGAGCCTGCTCTTCCACGGCGGCGAAGTCGGCACGTGCCTGCTCTTCGCCCAGACGTTCCGCCAGAGCGGGCTGCCGTCGCTCCGCGAGGCCGGCAGGGAGCTCGCCGAGCGCTTCGAGAGCGTGTCCGACGCCATCGAGGCCGAGGCGCCGACGCTGCGGAAGACGAAGGCGGCGCTGCACAAGCTCGAGCGCGACGCCGACGACGTCAAACAGGTCTTCGCCAAGGCCGCGGCTGAGTTCGAAGCGGGGCGGATGAATAAAAAGGACTTCCAAGAAGGCCGCCGCGAAGCTGCGGCGCGAGACGGCGGAGCTCTCCCAGGCCGCCGCGCGCGCCGCCGCGGGGTGCATAACCCTGTCACTAGTTATTACCGGCTTCGGCCGCTACAAAAATCGAGTCCCCCCCCCCTAGGCCCCGTTGAAGCAGCCCGCCTGGCGCAGCACCAACTCCCGGTCCGTGGGCATGTCGTAGCCGATCTGGCCCGGCGCCTCGTAGGACGGGTCGATCTGGTAGCCGTTGGGCCCGTCGTAGTTGTGGACCCAGTGCCACTGGAGCCCCGCGTCCTCGCAGCGCTTGCGCTTGGCGAGCTCGTACTTGGCCTGCTGGCTGCTCTTCATGGACGCGATGTCCTCGATGCGCTTGCGCTCGCGGTCGAGGTCCGTCTGGTCCATGTCCATGTCGCCGTCGCTCATCTCCTCGTCGAACTCGAAGAGGCGGCTCCAGTTGCCCATGGACACGCAGAAGTAGGTGTGGTACATGGTCAGGTTCTTCGCGAGCATGAAGTTTAGGACGCCGTCGTCGTCGACGTACCAGAGCGACTCGTCCGCGTAGACGTCGCGGTGCAGCGCGCCCTCGACGTAGACCTCGCCCGTGGCGCGGTGCGACGCCTTGAGGTAGCGCGTCTTCAGCACGACGTCGAGGTCCTGGGCGCCGACGTCCCCGGGCTTGTTGAACGCGACGACCTCGATCTTGTAGACGCTCTGCGTCCAGCGCGCCTGCTCCGTCTGGCACCACACCGCGTTGTGGACGCCGTCGCCGGAGCCGCGCTGGTGCACCTGGCACATGTTGTAGGCCATCTTCGGCTTGTCCATGCGCTCGTGGCGGGACCCGTCCGCGTGGACGAGCTGGAAGTTCTTGCCGTCCTTGCCCGAGAAGCCGCGGCCGACCTTGAACCGCTTGATCAATTCCAGCTTCTCCAACCTTTCCGGGTCGTCGAAGACGCCGGGGATGAAGCGGTAGGCGCCGCTCTCGGCCTGGTTGCCCTCGAAGCCCACCGCGGGGAAGAGCTTCAACGGCGGCAGGGGCTCGCCGTCGCCGTCGAGCGCGCCGTCCGCGGGGAAGTCCGCGGGGCCGAAGATCGTGCCCTTGGACGCGCCGTTGACGAAGACGTCCAACTCCTTGGCGTCGGCGTCCCACATGAAGCCCACGGCGTCGCCCTTCTTGACGCCCATCATCATGCCGCCGCGCGCCGCGCCCGCGTCGTAGTCGCCGCGCGACCCGCCGTGCGCCGTCGCCATGACGCCCCGGTGGTCGCGCATGTAGAGGCTCCAGGCCTTGGCGTCGTCGCCGAGCCACTTGGCCAGGTCGCAGCCCTCGGTGGCGACGCCGAGGCAGGGCTGGCCGACGCCGTCGAGGGCGACGCACCAGACGTGGACGCCCGTCGCCGGCAGCGGCTCCCTCGCGAGGCACGCGCCTCGCACGCGCGACGCGGACTGGGCGACCTTGGCGCCCTTGTTGGACACCTTGAGGCCCTTGGCGCAGAGCTTCTTGGAGAGCCTGTTCTCGAGGAGCTGGGGCGTGTGCTCGACGCCGTCCTTGGCGCGCTGGAGCCGCCGCTCGTCCTCGGCGGCGGCGGCGGCCGCGGCCGCGAGGCGCGCGTCCGCGCGGAGCCGCCGCAGCGCGAAGTCGCGGGCGATGTACTCCTTGGACCGCTCGCCCCACTTCTTGTAGCGGTCGCTGTCCTGGCTCGAAAAGGACGTGTCGCTGTCGCTGTCGCCCGCAAGACGTCGCTGTCGAGCGACGACTCGGAGCTCGCCGACGACGCGCCGTCGGCCTCGTCCTCGGAGCTCGAGGGGAACCAGTCCTTCTTGCGCCGGTTCGGGTCCGCCTTGAGCTTTTCGATCTCCTTCTTCCGCGAGTCCGGGTCGCGCTCGGGCTTGGGCGGGAGGTCCAAATCCGCCTGGCGCCGGTCGCGCCTTTCGGCCTTCTTGTCCGCGACGCGCTTCTTCTGCTTGTCCGTCATGAAGATCTGGGCGCTCTTGCCCCGGCGCTCCTGCTTGGCCTTGCGCTCCATGATGATCTTGATCTCCGGCGGCGCCTCCTCCGGGTCGACCAAATCCTGCCACTGGAGCAGATCCAAATGCGCGGCCCACGTCTTCGACTCGTCGAGCGCCTCCTCCATGGCGCGCCGCTCGAAGTGCTCGCAGCGGATCTCCGCGTTGCGCCGCGCGGCCTGGAGGCCCGGGTCGTTGGGGTTGATGCTCATCGCGTGCTCCAGCGCGAACTGCGCCTCGACGTGCCGCCCGCCGCCGTCGAGCGCGACGGCCAACCGCCGGATGCCCTTGACCCAGTCCGGCCGCAGCTCCAGGGCCCGGCTCGCCTCCTCCTCGGCCTCCTCGAACTTGCGCAGCTTCGCGAGGCAGGCGCTGCGGTTGCCGTGGAGGTTCGCGGCCTCGTGACCGTCGAAGTCGCGGACCGGCGCGCGGACGACCTCGCCGTCCAAGAGGCGCAGGGGCCGCCCCAGGCGGAACCCGCGTTCTTGCCGCGCGGCCTCCTCCTCGGAGTCGACCTCCTCGTCGTCGTCGACCTCGGGCTCGTCCGTCATGCCCTCTAGTAGCAAGCCGTAGAAGTGGAGCGCCGACCGCCAGTTGCTCACCTTGAACTCCGCGTCCGCGCGGCCCTTGATCTTCGCCACGGCGTCGGCGAGCCGCGCCTCCGGCGTCGCCAGGGCCGCCGTCAGCGCCTGCTCGCGGCGCTTCTTCGCGTCGACGACCTTGGCGAGCTGGCTCCGCGCCTTGGCGAGGCTCGGCTCGTCGCCGAGCGCCTTGCGGAGCATGAGCTCCGCGCCGTCCAAATCGCCGGCGCCCCGGAGCCGCGCGGCGTAGGCGACGCGCACCTTGGGGTCCTCGGGGTCCTCGCCGGGCCGCTGGTCCATGACCCAGCGCTCGTAGGGGTCCTCCCAGTCGTAGGCCTGCTGCGGCTCCTGCAGGTGCGCCTCGCCGGCCTGCTGCCGCTCCCAGACCTTCTCCTTCTCCTTGTGCTTGAGGAACTCCCGGAGCTGGTGCTTGCTCTTGATCTCCACGGTCTTGACGTGCTCGCCCTCGTCGGGGCCCTCCAAACCCGCGGGCACCGCGTGCGACGTCCCGTAGGGCTCGAGCTTCTTCTCCGAGCACCAGCCCCGGAGCGGCGTCTCGACGAGCACGCGCCGCGTCGACCCGCTCATCTTCATGTCCTCCGTGACCACGACCTCCGTGCCCGCCGCGAGCTCCCCGACCTGGCGCGAGCCCATGTCGCAGCCCACGCGCAGCAGCACGCCGCTCTTCTTCACCTTGTAGCGCCGCGACTTCTTCTTCTCGTGCCACGCGCGGCCCTCGTTCGACGACATGGCACCGAACCCGGCGCGGCGGTCGTTTGTGGTCCGGCCCGGCGCGTAGAAAAGACTACTTGGAGAGGCCGAGGGCGTCGACGCTCTCCGGAGCACCACTCGATACGCGGCCCACTGCATCTTGCAGCACCATGGGTGATGATGCCGCAACACGGCCAACGGTTGAGAGACCGCAGACGATGGACGAGCCAACTGGGCAGCCTCGGTGAACTCGCCCACTCCCAATGCAGGAAACGAAGATGGAGGCGCCCGACGCGGGCAACTGGCGCGCCGGCAACCCGCTGGCGGCGAACCCGAGGAAGCCGCGGCCGCGGTCCGCGAGCCCGCCGAAGCCGACGCCGTCGGAGTCGCCGCGGCGCGAGAAGTGGAAGAGCAGCGCCGTCGGCGGCCCGGAGAAGCGCTTCAGCGCCGAGCTCGCCGCGCAGCCGCGGCTCGTCGTCCGCGTCCTGGGCGCGCGGGGCCTCGGCTCTTCGGACGTCGTCGCACGCGTCTGGTGCGCGCGGCTCGACGACGTCCACGACGCGGACGCGGAGCCGCAGGAGACGCTGCCCTGCCGGGGCGGCGACGCGCCGGCCTGGGAGACGCACAACGAGTTCTGCTTCGCGCTCAAGCTCGACGCGCCCGAGGACGTGCAGGGCGGCTGCTGCGCGGTGGCGCTCCGCGACGACGGTGTCGCGCGCGAGACGGGCTACGCCGACGGCGACGCCGCGCTCGGTGTAGCCGTGGTGCCGCTCCGCATGATCTTCGAGCGGGGCAAGGCCATGGCGGGCACGAAGACGGTGCACCTCACGGCGACGTGGCTGCCGCTCGGCGCCGCGCCGAACGGCGCGCGCAGGGCGCGGGGCGAGGTCCTCGCGTCCTTCGTCTTCTTCTTCGCCGAGGGCCTGAGCCGCGCGGCCTTCGAGACGTCCGTCGCGCGGATCCTGGGGCGGCCCGAGGAGTACGACGACGACGAGCTCGCGTCGCCGCCGGCCGCGTGGCCGCCGCGCGACGCCGCGGCGCCGCGGCGCCGGGGCCCGCCCTTCTCCGACGACGGGGCCGTGGAGCTCCGGGGCCTCGGGGGCCTGTCGCCGATCCGCGAGCACCAGGAGAAGGGCGGCTGGGTGCCGCCGTCGCCCGCGCGGCCCCTCGCGGCCGGCGCGGCGTCGCAGGCGCTCGACACGGCGCGGAGCCGGGCAGGAAAAGAGAGCGACATTCCCAACTTCAAAGGCTCCGATCTCGGCCGCTTTCCACTCGTTTTGGCTGATTTTTGGACGAGCGATCATCTCTCGGAACGGTCTCGAAGCGTGGATGCTGTTTCCGGAACGCGCGCGCGCGGAACTCTCACGTTGAAGCGACGTTGCATCTCTCTTGTCCTGCCCAGGCGCGGAGCCGCGCGCGGAGCTCCGCGGACTTCTCCGGCGCGTCGTCGGCGCGCTACGTGGCCATGAAGCGCCTCCAGAAGGCCGCGCGGTCCGCCGAGGCGTCCCTGCTCCAGGCGGGCACGCCGTCCAAGATCTCCAGCGGCCACCGCGCGCTCCGGGACAGGCTCCGCGACGGCCTCGCGGCGCTGCGCGAGCGGGACTCGCGGCACGCGGGCGCGGGCGAGCTCTGGGGCGAGCTCAAGGCCCTGGAGAGCCCGGGCGACGCGTCGGCCTTCTTTGAAGAATTACTGGGCACGCGGCACACCGCGCGGGCGGGCGGGCTCGCGTCCGCGGTGCTCGCGGACGACGGCGCGCCGCTCGCCGCGCGGCGCCACGTGCTCCTGCTCCTGGCGGCCGTCGCGCGGCTCCACCCGGGCGCCTGCGTCCCGAAGCTCGGGGCGGCGCTGCGGGCCGTCGCGGGCGTCGCGCAGGGCGCGTCGGGCGCGGGCAGCTCGCTGAGCGGCGAGGCCGCGGCCGTCGCGGGCTGTGCCGAATTCAACCGCTGGTTTGGGCGGTCCCGACCAAACTTCAGAATTCTCTAGCTCGATCAAATCGACGTCGATTCGGCTGATTTTTGGACGAATCGATTGCTCTCGTCAAGTTCTCGAAGCACAGCCGAAGAATCGCGTCGAAACTGTCGCATATGCGCACATTGAAGTCGAGTTGAAGCTTTGAATTCGGCGCAGGTCGCGGGCGCGCTCGCGCGCGACGTTTTTCCATTAGCGGCCGCGCGGGGCGCGCCGGAGGAGTCTACGCACCTGCCCGTGGACGTGCTCGTGGCGCCCTTCACGCTCGTGCTCGCGCGGCCGCGCGCGCGGGGCCGGCGGTCCGTGGCCAACTGCTTCGCGGCCGTCCTCGAGGGCCGGCCGGGCCCCGTGCCCGTGTGGCTCGACGCGGCCCCGGCGTCGAAGCACGTCGGCGCGGCGCCGCCGGCGGCCGTGCTCGACGATCTGCGGCGGCGCGCGGCGTCGCGGGGCGTCGCGCTCCCCGTCGCCGCGACGCTGCTCCGCGACGGGACCGGCGCGGTGCTCCACTGCGAGAACGACGACGCGGCGCTGGACCTGCGCGCGACGCTGGCGCAGGACGAGGCGCTGCCCCCGGGCTGGGCGTTGGACGGGGCCATGGAGGCGGGGGAGGAGCGGGGCACCGTGGAGGAGGCCATGGCCGCGCGCGCGGCGTTCGTGCTCGCCGTCGCGCCCGCGGCCGCGCCGCTCGCGTCGTGGGTCGTCGAGTCGTGCAAGCGCCACCGGGACGTGCTCGAGCCCTTCTGCCGCGCGGCGCGCGCCCTGCTCCAGCTGCGGTCCGACGCCCAGGCGCTCGGGCGCGCCGACGCGGCCGCGAACGCGGCGTTCGACCCGCGGCTCCTCGCGCGCGCGGACGGCGCGTACGTCGAGGCGCTCGACGCCGCGGCGCCGGCGCTCGCGCGGCACGCGGCGCGGTGCGTCGAGGCGGAGGCGACGACGGCGGAGGCGCTGGCCTGGCGCGACAAGGCCGCCGCGCTCGACCTCGTCGAGGCGCTCGCGACGAACGACTGCACGCAGGCCGCCGCGGCGCTCGTCCTCGGCCCGCTCGTCGGCGCCTGCGACCGCGCGCGGCACCACGGCGTCAAGCACGTCCGCGACGCCGCGAAGCGGGCGCTCCTCGCGCTGGAAGCGCTGCGCGCGCGGCGCCGCGACGCGAAGCACGCGGCGGCGCGGCCGAGCCGCCGCGACGTCAACGCGCTGCTCGGCGCGAAGCTGCCCGTGAGCGCCGTCGGCCTGCCGAACCACGACGACGCCGCGTCCGTCGACTACGGCTGGCCCCGGCCGGCGACGCCGCCGTCGCCGCGGCGCGCGCGGCCCGGCGGCGCGCCCGTGCCCGCGCTCGACGTGTCGCGGCTCGCCGAGGCGCCCATCCCCCGCGCGCCGCCGTCGCCCGACGCGCCCTGGCTCGACGCGGCGCCGAGCCCGCGGCCGGCGCCGACGCCCGCGCGGGCGCGCCGCCCGCCGCCCGCGGCCCTCGACTTCGACGACGACTTCGCCAAACCGCCCCTCGACGACGACGACGACGACGACGCCGGGCCCGCCGCGGCGGCGAAGCCCTGGAGGCGGCGGCGGAGCTCCGCGAAGCGCGTGCGCGTGAAGCGGCCGTCCGTCGCCGAGGTCCCCGACGACGTCGCCGACGCGCTGACCAAGTCCGTCGACCTTTTGGCGGAGCGCTGCAGGGGCTTCGAGCTGTGCCGAATTCAACCGCTGGTTTGGGTGGTCCTCACCAAACTTCAGAATTCTCTAGCTCGGTCACATCGAAGTCGATTCGGCTGATTTTTGGACGAGTCGTTTGCTCTCGTCGAGTTTTCGAAGCACAGCCGAAGAGCCTGCGTCGAAACTGTCGCGTACGCTCACATTGAAGTCGAATTGAAGATTTGAATTCGGCACAGGCTTCGAGCGCGCGCTCGCGGACCACGTCGCGGACGTCCGGGCGGCGCGGCCGCCGCCCGAGCCCGCCGCGGCCGCGCCGACGCCCGCGCGGCACGACGAGCCCGACGGGAGCGTCGCCGTCGCACCGCGGGGCGCGAGGACGCCGCGGCGCGCGTGGCGCGACGCCGCGGCGCTCGCGAAGCAGCGGCGCTACGACGACGCGTTCCGCGCGGCGTTCCGCGACCCGCGCGTGGCCCTGCGCCTGCTCCAGAGCACGTCGCCGGCGGTCCTCGCGGCGCTGGACGGCGACACGGCGCGCGCCGGCGTCCGAGCGTCGCCGATTCGAGAGACGTCGACCGGGAAAACCGACGAAACCGGCGCGCTCCGTAGGCGCGCACGCTGCTCTACTTCGCCGCGCGCGCGTTCTCGCGGAGCGACGTGTTCCCCCGCCCCCTGCTCGCGTGGCTCGCCAAGGATCCCCGCGCGACGTGCCGCGCCGTGCGCGACGACGCGAACCAGCGCGTCGACCTCCACCACGCGCTGCGCAGCCTCGCCGTGGAGCCGACGCAGCGCGGCATCACGGCCTCGGCGCTGCTCTACGCGCTCGAGGACGACTCTCGGCGCCACGAGAAGGTCCTCGTGCGGGAGGCGTACGCCTTCGGGAGCGACGTCGAGCCGCCCTTTCCCTGACGCGTAAACTCGGAAGACCGCGGGCGCGCGGGCTCCCGGTCCGCGACGCTTTTTCCATTAGACTCGGAAGACGCCGCGCTGGAGCCGGGCCTCGCTCGGGTCGAAGGCCGGCGCCGGGTGCGGCGCCGCGGAGTTGGAGTGGGGCGGGAAGTAGGCGTAGGGCGACGGGTGGCTCGGCGGCGGCTTGGCCAGGGACGCGGCGCGCATCTCGCCCCGCGTCTGCTCGAGGAGGGCCGCGGAGAACTTGGGCGGCGGCGGCGGCCGGAGCCCCGTCGCGGAGGCGACGCGCGACCGCGCGGCGTCGCTCAGGGCGCAGAGCGGCTGCGCGAGGGCGTCCCGGAGCCGCCGCGCGGCGTCGGCGTCCAACGAACTGCCCGCCGCGGCGCCGTCGCCGGCGAGCTGGAGCTTGCAGAGCTGGTAGTAGAGCTTGCTCCGCATGCGGACCGCGGCGCGGAGCCGGAAGCGCTCCCGGTCGTACCAGGCGCAGAGGCGCTCGTAGAACTCGCCGGGCGTCGCCTCGGCGACGGCCCGGACCATGGCCTCGCGCGCGCCCACGCCGCCGCGCCGCAGCGCCCGGAAGACCTTGGTGAGCTCGCGCGTCTCTACTGTGCGCAGCTGCTTCACGGCGTTCTTCAGCGTGCCGCGCGCCGTGCCCCGGAAGCTCGGGCGGATGAACATGAAGCGGTCCTCGAGCTCGGCGACGCGCGCCTTGCAGGGGGCCTGGGCGTTGACGAGCAGCTCGAAGAGCAGGGGCCGCGCCGCGTGGAAGGACCGCGACACGCTCAGCAGGGAGACGAACTTGAACCAGCGCTCGGCGTCGTCGCTCGGGTCCCAGGACGCCGCGTAGGCGATGACGAGCCGGATGCTGCGCAGCGGGAGCTCCAGGCGGGCGCTCATGCTGGCGGGAGCCGGGCAGCCGTATTATCGACGGCTTCGGGTTGCCGGGTTTAAGTTGAGGTTCAGCTTTGCCTCAGTTTGAGGCTGAGGTCTCGGTCGGCTGCGCGCGCGGCGCGTCCGACCGCTGCGCGCCCGAAGCTCGCCGTCCGACGCGCGCCGCCGCGCGGCGAGACGCTAGGAGATGTATGATGACACGGACGACGAAGCGGTATACCATGACGAGATTCTCGCATGTATCAGGGCAGGCGACATGGAGGGCTTGGAGAATTGGTTGCTGGGCAGTCAGTGGGCTTCGAACGAACCTTGGGACGGGAGCGCTCTCGGAGATACTTTTCTTATCAGCATTCTCAAGAAGGGCGGAGGGGGGGAGCACGATGAGGACGCTGTTGATTTTACCGGCCTTATCGAGCTGCTCGTCGAACACGGCGCTGATGTTCGAAAAGCAAATACCGTAGGATTTACGCCGCTCCATTATTGTCACTCACACAGAGAGGCGGGAGTCATCTTAAAGCACGGCGCAGCGATCGACGCGCAGAGTTCACCTAATCGAATTACTCCGCTGATGATTGCCGCAAGAAATGATTACCTGCAAGCCGTTAAGTTCCTTTTGCGCAGTGGTGCTGACATTTCCATGGTAGACAAATACGGAAACGATGCCGAGTTGCATTGCGTTGAAGGCTACGAAATACAAGCCGACAGCCCGTCTAGAACGTTGATCCGCGACGTGAAACGCGCCGGCGGATGGAAGAATTACGCTCGCGCTCCGCGCGTCGAACTCGTGCGGCTGCGAAGCCTCTTTGCTCGCGGCCGCGCGCGACCTCCTTCGTCCGATTCCGTTCTCCAGCGCGTCTTCGGCGCGCCGGGCTCGTCGAAGAGGTCCGCGCGCGCCTCGAGACCTCTGCCGAACGAGATCTTCTGGAACATCGTCCAATTCTGGCGCTCGGACCGGGACGATGATTAAAAGCCAGCTAAGCGCCGGCGGCACCTAGCACGGCCCGATGCAGGCCGTCGTCGCGCAGGCGGTGTCGCAGGGCCGGAGGACGGCGGCCGCGGTCGACCTGCGGCGCTCACCTGGGGGCGCCCCCGTGATTTGCGGGGCGGGGGCGGGCGGGGTGCGCTCACCCGTGGTGGTCGTGGTCGTGGGCCGTGCACCGCTGGCTCGCCTCCGCGGGCTCGAGGTCGCGGAGCTTCTTCATTCGTCGCCAGTCCTTCGGGTTGCCGACGGACGAGCCCGCGCCCGCGTCGCCGGCGACCTTGAGCGCGTAGTTGCCGTAGGGCCCCCAGTTGATGGCGACCTCGTCGCCGTTCGTGAGCTTCCAGTGGCTGTGCGCGCTGTACTGCGCGCACACGAAGTGGTTGTAGGAGTCGCCGCGGAATTGGACGTTGAACGCGCCGCCCTCGTACTCGAAGGACCACTCGGAGCCGCCGCCCGTCGCCCCGATGAGGCTCAGCTCCGCGGGCGACAGGGGCCGGATCGCGCGCATGCGGCGCCAGTCGTTCGGGCCCGGCGCGTCCTTGGGCGACGGCGGCACCGCCGCGCCCTGCAGCTCCCGGAGCACGGCGTCCGTGACCGCCAGCTCGTAGTTGCCGTACTTGCCCCAGGCGATGCCGATCTTCGCGCCGTCGCCGCTCGGCATGACGCACCAGCGCGAGTTCGCCGGGAACTGGGGCGCGTAGAAGACGCCGCCGGGCCGCAGGCAGACCTCGAACTCGCCGCCGGGGTGCTGGAAGCCGTACCAGGCACTGAACATGGCGCTCGCCTCGGCCGACGGCTTGTGGAACTCGACGGCCTCGGCGAAGGTCGGCGTCAGCCCGGGCATCGACGCCATCGCGGCTGGTGGTTTGTGGCGGCGCGGCGCACGGAGGGAGCGCGATGCTCTCCCTCGAGGCTCTCCGGTGAACGTCGCCTTCAACCACGCCGCAGCAGCGCATGTGCGGCGCCTTTGGGCGGCAATAAGACACGCCGAACGCGCCAACCACCGCGCCGCGACACCAGCCGACGCCCCAAAAACGCACATATGGACCTGCCTGTCTGCCTCGTCACGGGCGTCTCGGGCTTCGTTGCGGGCCACGTCGCACTCGCGTTACTGGAAACGAAGCGCTTCCGCGTGCGCGGCACGGTGCGCGACCCGAACAACGCCGCCGCCGTCGCGCACCTCGCCGCGCACGCGACGCTCAAAGGCGTCGAGCTCGTCGAGGCGGACCTGCTGAGCGACGCCGGGTGGGAGGCGGCGCTGGAGGGGTGCGCCTACTGCTGCCACTGCGCGAGCCCGTTCCCCATCGGCGAGGTCGAAGCCGGGTCGCTCGTGGCGCCCGCGGTCGAGGGCACGGAGCGCGTCCTGCGGTTCGCCAAACAGGCGGGCGTGCAGCGCGTCGTCGTGACGTCGTCCGTCGTCGCGATCAGCTCCGGCCGGGACCCGAAGGACACCGCGCCGCGCATCTTCACGGAGGCCGACGTCTCGAACGTCGACTCGTGCGACGAATACGCGAAAAGCAAGACGCTCGCGGAGCAAGCGGCCTGGAGGCTGAGCGAGGAGCTCGGCCTCGACGTCGCGACCGTCAACCCGAGCTACGTCATCGGCCCGCTCCTCTCGTCCCGCGACTGCTCGTCGGCGATGCTCGTCAAGCGCCTCCTCTCGGGCGACATGCCGGCGGTGCCGCGCGTGTGGGTCCCCAGCGTCGACGTCCGCGACGTCGCCAAGGCCCACGTCCGCGCGATGGAGGCGCCCGAGGCCAAGGGCCAGCGCTACCTCCTGGACAGCGGCGCGCCGCTCTGGATGACTGAGGTCGCCGCGATGCTCCGCGCCGAATACGGGCCCCTGGGCTTCAAGGTCCCGCGATTCGTCGCGCCCTACCTCCTCATCGCGCTCTTCGCCCTCTGGGACAAGGGCGCCGCGGCCGTGAAGTCCTCCATCGGCCGCAAGGTCACGTCCTACGACCCGTCCAAGGCGCGCGCGCTCCTCGGCGGCGAGCTCATCGGCCCCGAGCGCAGCTACCCGGACATGGCCCGGTCGCTCATCGACCTCGGCGTCGTCAAGGGGCCGCGGGGGAAGAAGCGCGGGTGAGTAATGGTCGTGGTCCTGGGCCCCCCGGGGTTTGCCGCCGGCGCGCCCGAAGCTCAGCTCACAGCGTCGGTGTTCCCCGCCCATCGTCGTCGCATCACCGCCCACTGCACTCGCTAGAACCCCATACTTCACCAGCGTCGTCGCAAGCGAAGTATGGGGTTTGCGTTGTTCGTCGAGGCGGCGCGAGGGACGACTGTCTGGGGGCTGGCCTTGGCGAGGGCTCTCCGAAGCGCATTGAAGTTGTGAGCAGCGCCGCGGCATCACTCAGAGCGTCGATCTGCTTCGCCCGCTTCGTCGTTGCAGAACAGCCTTCCAGCGCATCGCCAGCCCCCCACACTTCGCCCACGTCGTTGCAAGAAGCCCACCAGTGCTTCGCCGACCCGCAACAGTCCCCCACTTGCACAACAGGAACGTCAGAATGATGCGCTCCATACGTAACCCGCTGCGCCGCGTCGCGCAGCGCTACTACGCCACGCAGCTGAGCTTCGCGACCCCCTACGCGGACGCCTGCGGGCCCAACGAGTTCGAGGTCAAGGCGAGCATCGCCGCGGCCAAGGCCGCGCCGAAGATGGATTCGCGCTTCGTCCGCGACTCGCTCAGCTTCGCCACCCCCATGAGCGACGTCTGCGGTCCCAGCCAGGCGGAATTGCGGGCGCTCGACGCCGCCGCCGCCGCCGCGCCCCAGTTCGACGCGTCGCACATCAACTTCGCGACGGCCTACAGCGACGCCGTCGGCGGCTACTCGGTCTCGGAGCTCGAGGCGCTGGACGCGGAGGCGGCCGCGGCCCCGGAGCCGTCCATGAGCTTCGCGACGGCCTACAGCGACGCCGTCGGCGGCTACAGCGCCGCGGAGCTCGACGCGCTCGACGCGGCCGCGGCCGCGACGCCGGAGCCGACGATCAGTTACGCGACGGCCTACAGCGACGCCGTCGGCGGCTACAGCGCCGCGGAGCTCGACGGCCCTCGACGCGGAGGCGGCGGCGGCGCCGGAGCTGACCATCAGCTACGCGACTGCCTACAGCGACGCCGTCGGCGGCTACAGCGCCGCGGAGCTCGACGCGCTCGACGCGGCCGCGGCGGCCGCGCCGGAGTGCTCGCTGTCGTGGTCGACGCCCCTGGCCGACGCCATGGCCCATCGCCCGGCGGAGCTCGCGGCCCTCGACGCGGCGGCGGCCGCGTCCCGGTACGAGACCGCGGTGAGCTTCGCGACGCCCTACAGCGACTGCGTGGGACACAACGCGTCGGAGCTCGCGGCGCTCGAGGCGGCCGCGGCGCTGCCCCAGGACGCCTACGACGCGAGCCACCTCTCCTTCTCCCAGGCGCTCAGCGACGCCGCGGGCCTCACGGCGCGGGAGCACGAGCGGCTCGCCGCGGAGCGCGCGGCGCGGCCGCTCTACGCGACGACGCTGTCCTACGGCACGCCGCTCGCCGACTTCGCCGCCCGCGGCGCGACGCTCGAGGTCAAGACCTTCGCGGACCTGCCCACGACCTTCGACGAGGCCGTCGCCGAGGGCGCGCCGGGCGCCATCGTCGTCACGGAGGCGCGGCGCCCGTTCCGCATCTGCCACGTCAACCAGGAGTGGGTCGACCTCTGCGGCTTCTCACAGGACGAGGCCCGCGACGCGTCGCTGAACCTCATCCAGGGCCCGGCGACGGACCTCGTCGCGCTCGACGACATGGTCGAGCACCTCCTCCGCGGCCGGTCCACGGAGGTCACCGTGACCAACTACCGCAAGGACGAGTCGGCCTTCGCGAACAAGCTCAAGGCCGCGCCGCTCCGCTCGCCGACGACGGGCGAGATCACCCACTTCGTCGGCGTCCTCTCCGACGTGTCCGAGCGCCCGATCACGGCGTCCGCCGTCTAGACAACCCCCCCCGCGTGGACTCACGCGCCAAGAACTCCTGTCTGTCCTCCCCCAGCCGCTCCCGCCCCTCTGCTCGCGAGAAAGTAACCGCCCCTTCGAACCGGCGCGGGGCTGGACTGCTCCTAGTCCAGCCCGGCGCCCTCCGCCGCCGGCGGGGCCTCCTCCTCCGCGGCCTCCTCCTCCGCGGCCTCGGGAGCCGCGGCCGCCGGGTCCGCGGGGAGCGAGCCAGGCGGCCCGCCCGGCGGCGGCGGCGGCGGCGCGAGCGCGGCGGCGTGCGCCGCGAGGGCCATCTGGGCGTCGATGGCCTGCTGGTCGACGGCGCCCGGCGCGCCGGGGATGAGCGACGCCGTGCCCGGGGGCTGGGGCTCGCCCGCGCTCTTGAGCTGCTGCGCCGCGTAGGTCGCCGCGTAGCGCGGGTCGCTGTAGACGGCGGCGGCGGCCGCGTAATGAGCTGCGTAATACTGCTGGGCCTGGAGCACCTGCTGCGCTGCGTAGTACTGCTGGGCCGCGTAGTACTGCTGCTGCTGCGCGGTGTACGCGGGCGTGTTCGGCGCCGGCGGCGGCTGCTCGGGCGTGTTCGTCGCCGCGGCGGCCGCCGTCGCCTTGGACGCGGCGTCGTCCTTCTTCTTCTTCCGCCGCACCTTCTTCTCCTCGGCCTTCTCGACGAACGCCGCGGCCATGTAGTCGTCCGCGGGCCCCTCCTCGGCGGCGGCGAGCGTCTTCGCGGCGGCGGCCGCCGCCGCGACCTTGGACGCGATGGACGGCGCGGCCTGGCCCTCGTCCGCCGGGTCGTCGGAGCGCTCGGGCGCGTCGTCGCGGCGCGACAGCGCCTCGGCGACCGCGGCGCGGCGCGCGTCGTTGCGCGGCGGGCCGGAGAAGCCGCCGCCGCGCGGCCGGTCGTCGAAGCGATCGTCGCTCCGCCGCCGGGGCGGCTCGTCGTCGTAGTCGCGGGGCCGGCCGTCGAAGCCGCCGCGCCGCGGCGGCCGGTCGGCGTCGCGGTCGCGGCCGTAGTCGCGGTCGCGGTCGCGGTCGCGGCCGTAGTCGCGGTCGTAGTCGCGGTCCCGGCCGTAGTCGCGGTCGCGGTCGTAGTCGCGGTCGTAGTCGCGGCGGCGGTCGTCGCGGTCCCGGCCGTAGTCGTCGCGGCGGTCGTAGTCGTCGCGGCGGTCGTAGCCGCCGCGGCGCCGGGGCTCGTAGCGGCCGCGGTCGTCGCCGTAGATGGCGTCGAACTCGTCGTCGCGGCGGCGGCGGCGGCCCCGGTCCCGGTCCCGGTCGTCGAAGCGGTCCCGGTCGTCGAAGCGGTCGCGGTCGTCGCCGTCGTCGCGGCGCGGCGGCGCGTCGTCGAAGCGGCTCCCGCGCGGCTCGTCGTCGGCGTCGCCGAAGCCGTCGACGCGGCGCGGCTCGCGGCGCGGCTCCGCGGCGCCGCCGAGCTTGAAGCCCGCGACCTTGGGCTTGTCGCCCGGCGGCGCCGGCTCCTCGGACTGCGCCGACGCGCCGACGGGGTCGTACATGTCCGCCGAATCGCGGCGCGGCGCGGCCACCGCCGCCTCGGCGCGGAGCCGCTCCGTGGCGATGGCCGCGGCCATCTTCGCGACGGCCTCGGGCGACAGCGCGGGCTCCGCGGGCGCGGGCGGCTCCGCGGGCGCGGGCGGCTCCGCGGGCGCGGGCGGCGGCGCGGCCGCGGGCGGCGGCGCGGCCGCGGGCGCGGCGGCCGCCGCCTCGCTCCGCCGCTTCTCCAGGACCTCGCGGGCGAGGCGCCGCGCGTCGTCGGCGTCGTCGGCGCGCCAGCGGCTCGACGTCTCCACGGACCCGAAGCGCGCCGGCGGCGGCGACCGCGGCGCCGGGCGGTCGCTGCGGCTGCGAGGCGATCCCACGAAGCGGTAGACCGCGCCGCCGCGCCGCGGCTCGGCCGCCGGGCGCAGCTCGCCGTCCTCGTCGTGGCCGCGCTCGTCGCGGCGGTCGCTCTGGCGCCGGTACATGCTGCGCGTTGGCGGCGACGCGGCTGGCGGCGGATTTGCTCTCCGGGCTCGACCGGCGCGCCGCGGCGAGTGCGCGGTTGGCACGACGCGACCGTCGCGGCGCGGCCGGCCGCCGCCGACGGCGTCTCCGACCGCGCCGCCACCACCTCCGAAAATCGGCAGGATTATCCTCGGCTACACAGGGCGCGGCCTAGTCCGTCTTCTCGGTCTGGTCGCACATGAGCGGGCCGCAGAAGTAGGTCGCGGGCGACGGCTCGGGCTGGGTGAGGTCGCGGGCCTCGGCGACGACGGGGATGCCCTCCTCCGCGGGCACCTCCTTGGGGAAGCCGCGGTCCTCCGCCGTCGGCACGAGGAGCACGGGCTCGACGTCCGCCGGCGGGGCGTCCTCGAGGGGCGCCTCGTCGGCCTTGAGCTCGTCGGCCACGAGCGGCTCGGCCTCGGGCTCGACGAACTCCAAGGGCGGGTCGTCGGCGACGACGGGCTCCGGCTGCGTCGTCACGACCTCGGGCGGCCGCGCCTTGAGGATCTTCGTTGCGGCGCGGTCGACGCCCTCGCGCATGATCTTCTTCAGGTGGCGCTCGAGGGGCGCGGGCTTCGCGAAGGCCATCGCGCAGGGCCACCAGCGCGTGAGGAGCGAGTGCGCGACGATGAGGAGGCCCGTGCCGAGGCCGATGAGGACGATGGAGCCCGTCGACGCGATGCCGTTGTCGAAGTCGATGGTGCAGTCCTCGTTGAACGCCTTGTGCGGGTCGAGGCCGTCCGCGGCGACTGCGAGGTCGCGGAAGCAGCCGTTGAGCGACCCCTGGCGGAGGTAGCGGTACTGCGACTTCACGGGCGGGATGACGTACTGGTACATCCAGTGGCACGCCGACTTGGAGCCGATGGAGAGGATGATGACGTTGAAGAGGAGGAAGACGAGGACGAAAACGACGAGGAACTCGAGGAGGACGTAGATGAGCCAGAAGCGCACGAGGTAGTTGCCGTCGCACGCGTAGCGCGTGGCCGTGCCCGCCACGAAGATGGACAGGCGCGCGACGGCGCCGGCGCCGCGGAGCGCCGTCGCGCCCGCGTAGATGACGGAGTCGCGCGCGCGCCGCATCCGCGTCCGCGGCTCGTCGTTTTCGGCGTCGAGCTCGCGCGCCCGCTCCGCGGCCTCGCGCGCGGCCTTGCGCCGCG